GGCATGAACTCCCACCTGGTCGTTAAGTTGCAGGCTGGAACACACTGGGTATTCAGCTTGTGATAATAGGCAAGGATTGATGGCTATGCGTCCTTCTTCTGTGACACTCAAAACTGGAAGAAAGCTCTAGTGGTGGTATAGGCTTGATTGAATTAAATTATCAAATTGTTGTAATGTGAAAAGAAAAGGAGAAAAAAAAATTTTTTCAAGGTGTCATGTGCAGATTGGTCACCAGGGGGCTCTGCTGCTCTGCTAGTGGGGCTGGTTGTGCCCCTGTCTCTTTATTGTATTAACACCGGTTGAAATTCCAGGCATTCCTGGGGGGGAGGGAGTGAGAGAGAGCAGCTTAATCGTTTAATTGCTCTTCCTTGACGACCAGTTGCTAAGGTAAGTGAACAAAGGGACGGGAAGAATTTTATTGCTCTGGAAAGGGCTCCTTAAGCTAGCAATCTCATGAAGAAGAAGAAGACGTGTTGTTTCTTCGTTACTCTTTAGACATAAAGACTTTAAACACTCAAGTTTCAAATCATTGATTTGCATTAGACAGGGTGGGAGACAGGCTCAAATCTTCAAAGCAGTGAAGAGTGCACAATAAGGGGGGGTGTTGCCCCAAGCTTTGAAGTTGCCAGCAGGGGAAAAAGGAGGGGGGAAACTGCCCGCTCTTTGATTTTAGGAACGCAGCCTTCACAGGCAAGAGTTTTGTTGTTTTAAAACTTGGCTTGCAGAGATGACAGTAAATAACAAGACAATGCTTCTGAATTACACCTTCAGTCCCTTCTAGTTACTTTCACATGCAAGAGAGTTTGCTTGCTTCTTTAAAATGTAGATCAGAGGAAAATTAATCTCATCAAATTGCTCTTGCTGGAGATCAGAGGAGAATTAACCACATAAATTTACTGTTCTGACCTAGACAGGACAACTTGCTTCTCTGTCCAATCTAAGGCAGACAGACCACTCGATAGAAATGATTTTAAAACAGATAAACGTTTATTGCAGAAGAAATACCTGGGTCCACGAGGTTATTCCTGGCTTAACATCTCTCTGTTCATTCCCATAGGTAAATTTATGTTGGATTTTCCCCTCTTCTCCCAAGCGTCACATGGTGGGGTGATCATGGAGTCTGCAGCTGTGTGGCTGCATGTGTTGCCAAAGAACAAAGGGACTAACGCCAGGCTAGTGTCCAGGGATGCCTATGAAGCTCCGCCCCTTGACCCTTGCACCCTCCCCTTGCCCTGTTACATAGGGACACACAGAGCTACACAAGACACACAGAGCCATGGTAAACATAGAGCTATACAAGGTTAAATGGATCTATGATCCAGAACAATCACAATACGTCACGTGACACAATCGAGTTTGACACCCATGATGTAGATGTTAAAAAGAAGGAATACCATTGAACTCTGAGAAATCTCACAGACCAGGAGTCTCAGATTTAATGTTCCCTACTTTACCAACACCGACGGGGATCAACCATGGAAACCTCCACAATACCTTTCCCATGCTTTCAGTGCCTGTAGCTGGTTCAGAGGTAGATCATAAAATCTTAGTATAAAGATAACAAGGATAGTAGCTCCTTTCATTGACATTGATTGATATTGATTAAATGCCATCATGTTGATGACCTTCCTTAGAGACAACACATATTCTCTTAGAGATAGCTCCTTCACAGAGTACTAACTTGGTCAAGTTTCATCTGGCTTTCTTCAATGGCTTCAGTGCAATATTTTTTAAAGAATATACCCCCTGTACTTCTTTTCAGGCAGAGACAGTTAGGATATGCAAAAAGATATCAGCAGCTTCCTAATTATTCCAAATTATTCAGCAAAAATTCCAAGATATACTAAAACAATGCAAAAACTGTCCTTTTCTAACTTAAACATGAAAATTACTTAGGTCAGCTCTTACTTTTCTACTTTTTTGTAGTCCCAAATTTGCCATAACAGTGAAAAATGATAATTGACTTGCCCTTGTGGGGCAATATAGATTTGTTGCCCCACTGCGTACAGTATTCTAATGGGGTATCAGTACAACCAATTGGAATATATGGTTGCTCCTGGGTAATAGCCCCTCACTGGTGATATGCATGGATGGGACAGGGTTGCAGCTTTCTGACCATTCTATGAGTTAGCTGAGATAGCAAAAGTGGACCGGCATGGCAAGGCGTAATGCCACAGAGGTAGATAGCCACAAATTTTTAAAAAGTAAAACAAAAAAGGAGCATTCTTAGATATTGCTTCCTATTTTTTAAATAATCAAACAGATGACTGTTTCCTCCAAATCTTAACTTGGCACTCATTCCTTCATTGTAAAAAAGATATTAAAGCATTCCAATCATGCATAATTCGAAAGTTAAGTTTGACCCAAGATTGTCTTCAGAGTTGGTCATCCTCTTATGAGCTGTTTTGAGAGGACATTATGACATTCCTTTAACATAAGGAAGTTAATACTTGTGAATAACCACATTAAGAAGCTGAATGAACAAAGCCCAAAGCAATTTTTGATGGACACATCATTCCTATTTCCAATTGGAAACTGTTTTCTTCAAGTGCAGATTAGTGATCTGATGTCTTATTTTTCCACTCTATCCTGCTATTGTTATGTACAAATAGAGTTAAGTTTGGATTTACCAAAGGATTTCTCCCTTTGGGACCATCCATGCTAATTACTCACTGTATTAATTCCAGTAGCTCTGGAATATTCTGTGCCTTTGGATGTGTAAATATAGAAATACACAATTAATATAAATTGTCACCTGTTGTTTATGTCTTTGTCTCCCTCTGCTTTGGCCTGCCTTAAAACGCATGTTCCAGGGTTCCAGTTAATTGCTTTGATGTTTGTGAAGTTTAAGAAATCAACATCAAACTATATATTTCACTAGCTAAACTGACTGTTTGCACTTCCTCTGGACTGGCCTAGGGATTTATATATCAGGTACAAACACACTGATTTTCCAACTATCAACTTTAATAATCACAGAGACAAATGAAGTTATAAAATTCATGGTCTGACTTTCAAGTCATTGTCAGAGTCCCTATACAGAAGTAAATTTTCAACCTTGCATACAATAGTATCGGTAACAACTCTTAGAAGCAGCAGAAAAATCGGAGAAGTCCTTACTAAGGTTGTTTATTTAAATTTAGACTCGGTTTTGAGTTATGAAGCTGCTTCAAAAAGTTTAGAAATTGAAGAACGTCTTGAAGAATTGCACAGCTCATGAGATTAACACAGAATGAACATGATACTGTATATTGGTTGTATTTAGAATGAAAAATACTTTTTCATCAATGAAACTATTGGCTAATTTTAGACATAAATCTTCCAATTTCAAGTTCCAGTGATGAGAAATAAAACAAAACATTTAGTCCACTGAAAAGATACGATAAGTGAGTTCTGTTGATTAAAGAAACTTAATTGCTACTTTCTCTCCATTTTTTCCTGGGCCATTCTTCATTCACCACCACAATAAATGCATCTGTGACCATAACATCTATTATAATGTGTTTTTCAGAAACAATTTGCTGTTAGGAAGCACTTTTTGAGGACAAAAATCAAAGCTCAAGGGATAAAATCATTGGAGCTTTCCCATTATTACAACTCATTATTCTCCTGAAAAATAATTTAAAGGCAGAAAAGAAATGAGCCGGGTTGCCTGAGAGTGCCCATAAGATGCTTTTTGGACCAGCCCAAGAGAGAAATTATCTCACCGTTTCTTCTTTCTTATGCTGCCCTTTGACTTCATGGATTGAAATTGTTTCAGATGTGAAGCCCTGCTGCCTTAAGCAAACCTTCGGATCCCAACAGAATGAAGAGTCAAATTATGTATCCATTAAACCTAGATCAGAGAGAAAAGGAAGGTGGTTTTTGAAATGTCACTTATTTATAGTTTGCACTGAGAAACCTAATAGTAGGTTAGCAGCTTTTCCAAAGAAGAAATGGACTCTTCTATGAAGATGCTGTTTTCTCTTCTCTTCATACTCTGCGTGTTATTTGCTACTGTGAAAACAAATAGTAAGTACATGTCACTGGAATTAGTCACTTTTAATACAGCTGTTTTTACACAAGGTAAAAGAGGAAAATTGCAAAATATTCATTACAATGTTTCAGTTTGCTTTAATCTTTAATATTGGATTTCAATGGAGAGGAAATGCCTGCGCTTCTGAGAATTTTCTTGTAAAGAGGCACCCTATTTGCATTGAGAGTTTTTTGGGTGGTTGCTGGTGTGATTGTCATTGTTACTGTTGCTGAACAATGTAGCTCATAATGCTCCCCCAGCTCAATTCTATACCTCCTCTAGAATCTGAAGATTTAGAACGTGAAGTGTCCCAATTATAATAGGCAAAACAAAAGTTAAAAAGTATAGCAACCTTAATTGGCTCGGAATGGATACATTTAAGAATCTAAATCCGTATATTCTGATCTAGACATTGTAGGAGGAGATCCATGTTAGTCTATAATAACCAAAACCCAGAAGGAATCTGGTGGCACATTTTCAGATTCAGATATTTTATTAAAAGGCATGCACTTTTCTGATGGCCAGCTTCTCCCAGTATAGAACTGCAGGAGATTAGCACTGACTCCCATCACTCACTCCCATTTGTTTTGATATAGACAAGGTCCTTTCACAGTCCAGCCACACTATGCATTTGATGAAGAATGCTGCAATTCATCAGAGCTTGTGCTTCTTAATAAGATGTGATAGGCAGAAGCAGTGCTACCAGAGTACAGAGAAGAGCAACAAAGATGATTAGGGGACTGGAGGCTAAAGCATATAAGGAATGGCTGCTGGAATTGGGTATGTCTAGTTTAATGAAGAGAAGGACGAGGGGGGACATGATAGCAGTGTTCCAATATCTCAGGGGCTGCCACGAAGAAGAGGGAGTCGAGCTATTCTCCAAAGCGCCTGAAGGCAGGACAAGAAGCAACGGATGGAAACTAATCAAGAAGAGAAGCAACCTAGAACTAAGGAGAAACTTCCTGACAGTTAGAACAATTAACCAGTGGAATAACCTGCCTCCAGAAGCGGTGAATGCTCCAACACTGGAAGTTTTTAAGAAGAGACTGGACAGCCATTTGTCCGAAATGGTATAGGGTTTTTTGCCTGAGTAGGGGGTTGGACTAGACCTCCAAGGTCCCTTCCAATTTTATTATTATTATTATTATTATTATTATTATTATTATTATTATTATTATTATTATTATTATTGTTGTTGTTGTTGTTGTTGTTGTTGTTATTATTATTCCTGATTATATTCTACTCTGTGACTTATTGCATACCGGTGGTCCTCGTTAACAACCATAATTGGGACAACTCCATTGCTAAGTGACACAATTGTTAAACAAGACAACATGTGATCATGATGAACATACAACCTCATTTCTGCCACGGTTGTTAAGTGATTCACCCCTGGTCACTAAATAGGACATCACATGACTATGAGTTGTGATTTGTTTCTGGTTTCTCGATTGACCCTGTTTGTTGGAAGCTGACTGTGCAATGCACTAATGGCAATTGCATGACTGTAGGTTGCTGTAATAGTTGTAAAATCCCACTAGTTGCAACCACGGGGATGCTGTGATGGTTGTAAATGTGAGGCCCAGTCACAAGGTTTCTTTTTCAATGCTGGCATAACTTCAAAAGGTCACTAAACAGAGCAGTTGTTAAGCAAGTACTTCCTGTAGTGTATTTTGATGAAAAGAGTTATATGAAACGTTGCCAGGCCACTTGTGCAGTGTTTATATATTTCATTTGTATATTGCTTTTTATTTTTTTTCCACCCAGATTCATCGGATCAAATTATTCTTTCATCTAAGCCTAGGAAATTTTTGCTAGCTTTAATCAATTCTACAAATGGGAATCTGCCAGACATCCACAATAAAGAAAGAAGTCCTGCTCTCTTTTCAGATGATGTTGAAACATATTTCACTAATCCATGGCTGACCCAGTTTCTCCCTGCAGTCGAGATTCTTGTGTTTGTTCTGGGTGTTCCTTTAAATGTTTTGGCTATTCATATTTTTGTGATGAAGACAAAGCTTTGGAAGCCAGCTGTGGTGTATATGATCAATCTGGCTTTTGCAGATCTGCTTGTGCTGAGCATTCTGCCTCTTAAAATTGCATACCTCTTTAGGGGACACAACTGGGTCTTTGGGTCTACTATGTGCCAACTGGTCACTTCTACTTTCATCTGCAACACGTATGGCTCCATTCTGCTGATGACAGGGATCAGCATCGATCGTTTCTTCGCTTTGGTTTGCCCCATGAAGTCTCTGTCCTGGCGCACAGCAAGACGTGCCTCTGTGGTCTGTTTTGCCATCTGGCTGCTCGCCATAGTGGCGGCGAGCCCATTGATGGTCTCTGATCTCACGCTGTGGATACCTCAGATGAACATTACAACTTGCTTTGAGGCGCAAAACATTTCTCTTTCTGTGGAATTCTTCAGTTATTACTTATTTGCCTTGTCTACTTTCTTCTTTTTTATCCCGTTACTAATCTCTACTGCTTGTTATATATGCATTATAAGGAAACTTTTTTTGTCTAGGTTTATGGTACAGTCAGGGAAGAAGAGACGCGCGATCTTCTTGTCCGCCGTTGTTTTGTCCACCTTTTTTCTTTGTTTTGGTCCAGCCAATATCCTGCTATTAATTCAACTCTTTTTTCCGTATGAACAGCTTCAGAGCATCTTTTTTGCCCACATGCTCAGCCTTTCCCTGAGTGTCCTCAACTGTTGCCTTGACCCCTTAATCTACTATTACGCCTCCTCAGAATGTCAGAGGCAGGTCTGGAGTCTTTTGTGCCCCAGAAAGCTGCTTCTGGATGGAAAATGTAGTCAAACAAGCTGAAGCACTGCACCCTCTCCCAAAGGCTTAGACCCTTCGTTTCCCATTTAGTTTTTTTATTGCTGTATCTACATCATGCATGCATTTATAATATTGCAAGTGTGAATCTAAATGTTCAATGTCCTATATCCTATACAGGGAGTCCTCAACTTATGACGACAAAAATTATATTGCTAAGCAAGACGGTTGTTAAGGTAATTTTGTCCCACTTTATGACCTTTCTTGCCACAGTTGTTAAATGAATCACTGCAGTTGTTAAGTTAGTAACATGACTGTTAAGTGAATCTGGCTTCCCCATTGACTTTGCTTGTCAGATGATCACAAAAGGTGATCACATTTCCTGAAACAATGCAACCGTCATAAATACGTGCAAGTTTCCAAGTGTTCAAATTTTGATCATGTGACCATGGGGATGCTGCAATGGTCGAAAGTGTGAAAAATGATGTCACTTTTTCAGTGCTGTTGTAACTTTGAACGGTCACGAAATGAACGGTTGTAAATCGAGGAGTACCTATACAGCAAGAATATACTCAGCATGGTTAAAAAAGTCAAGATGGGGACCACGACTGCATAATTGAAGCTCTGCCTCTTTTTTATATGTGTTGTTTGTGCAGTTGTGAATATCAGCTAAGTTATTTCAAATACCCATCCAACTTAATAACAAATTAGCTTACTTGCCAAAGGCATTTATATACATTTTCATAAAAACACATTAATCCTTTTCAGTGTAAATAACAATATACAGTACAGAACACAGAAAATGAGTAAGACATAGTAGGCAAAAAAAAGCATTGTAAAGGAAGAAAATAAGAGAAATGGAAATAGAGAAATTTAGTTTAATGCAGCACCATTCACTCAAAGGGACCTTGGCTGTCTTCCCTTGCAAGCTATTCTTGCTTGCATCACATCCATGCACTGCTTCTTTCCATACCTTTTGATGCTTTCACCTCTGTCTCTTTCAGCATCTTTAATCAGAATACAGCTGAAAGGGACCTTGGAGGTCTTCTAGTAGTCCAACCCCCCCCCCCCAAGCAGGAGACCCTATACCATTTCAGACAAGTGGCTGTCCTGTCTTTTCTTAATAACCTTGAGTGACGAAGCACCCACGACTTCTGAAGGCAAGTTAGTTAATTGTTCTCACTCTTAGAAAGATTCTCCTTAAATTCAGGTTGCTTCTCTCCTTGATTAATTTCCATCCATTGTTTCTTGTCTTCTTGTCTTCTTTTCCTTTAGAAAATAAGTTGACTCTCTCTTCTTTGTGGCACCCCCTCAAACACTGGAATACTTCTACCATGTCACCCCTAGTCCTTCTTTTCTCTACACTGAGCCATATCCAATTCCTACAACTGTTCTTCATATGATGGAATTGATGAAATACATTTCATATCTCATCAGTTCCATCCCATCAGAGCTTTCTCAGATTTCTCCTTCCTCTCAATAAAATATCATTCAGATATCTACTTGGTGGTTTGGTCCTGTTATTCCAAATATGCGACAGCAACCTACTTTCGTAGCAGAAACCCAATTTTTTTATTCAAATTAAATTAGTTAGTATGAAGATCTGAAATCTAAAACTGAAACTGTTGAGGTTTAGGGTTGACCCTGTGCCTCTGAGACAGTTGTATAAACTGATTGATTATGTGAATCAAGTCAGTGTCGACTCTTAATAACCACACAGATTTCCTCCATGATATCTGTATAAATATTTGTATGTAAATACAAAGGCCATGGGCTGCAACAGACTACTTGGCCTGCTATTTTATATGCCAAAACAACTGAAATATATTGCCAAAAAATTAAGAATATATTGTAGGGCAGTTATCTTTTTTAACGCATTCTCCCTAGTCTAATTGGGCAAGTTCCAAAATTTGAGAAACACATAAGAATCTATTTATAAAAGACAATTTGAGCAAGAAATTGAGAACAGTAGAGAAGTTGGCTTTCCATACCAAATACCAAATAATCTGAGCTCCAAATGCCAAGCAGCTTGCATTTGCACAAATATCTTCCAGAAACACATCCAGGCTCCTCTCCTCACAAAGGAGATTCACACAACACCCCCCACACACTTCTTTGATTAATATGATAATCTCAAAGTCTTAGTTTGATCCCACCATTATCCCTGAATTACAGGTAGTTGTCAACTTACAACAGTGTGTTTAGTGAATGTTCAAAGTTACAGTGGCATTGAAAAAAGTGACTTATGACCATTTTTTACAAGTATAACCTTGTAGCATCTCCATGATCATGTGATCAAAATTCAGATGCTTGGTAACTGGTTCATATTTATGACCGCTGCTGTGTCCCAAAATCATGTGATCCTTTTTGTGACCGTCTGACAAGCAAGGTCAATGGGGAGTTCACAGAGTATATTTCTAATGAGGCAAGTAGTTGCTTTAGTTGTGCAAGATTTCTGTCCATAGGTGACGAGTAATAAAGGAAACTGCTAGGAAGTAACTGCGGTCTTTGTTGGTTTTTGACAGGAGAAGAACCAATAAGTGATGAGGTAACTTCAGGATAAGAATTCTATGTTTATTACTTTGGAGTGGCAATGGCAATATTTTAAATTATATATATTTAACCCTAAATTACACTTAGAGGAAATTAAGCTACTTTTGGGCCGAAAGAGTGTGGGAGCTAGTTTTGCCAAAGTCAGGTTGTCAGCCAAAAGATTGGCTGGGTATGGGAACCCAGTGTGAAGAAGACAATGTCCTGGGCATGATCTGGAAGAGTGTGGGAGGCTGACAGTCTCCCTGTTACTTCCAATCTCCCCTTCTGGCCCTTAGATCTCAATCCATCCATCAGCAAACCACGTGCCTGGAGCCTCTGGCTTCCAGCTGCTATTTCAGGTCTGCCTTTAATAAAGCTTATCTTGGCAGCCCTTACATTACTGAACCCTGGTTGGAGGGAAAGGTCTCCCTCTCTCTCAGAAAGGAAAATAGGTCTGTATTAGCACAAATGATTTTAGTTATGACCTCCAGTTACTTAGGAATACTTTTACTCATTGTATTGCTTCATTCAATGTTTTCATCCCAATTATGTATTAGGATGCGATATGTCATTCAAAGTCAGCAGACTGGAGCAGCCTGTAAGCCCAATAAATATATAAATATCAGTGCTTTATAGTGTCTTCTAGAATGTTTCTAACAATCTATTTCTGTGCCAAATAGTAACATAGACAGATTTTATATCAATTCACTAATGGCTGGGGGATGCTATACAGACATAATAAATCACTCATGTGGAAAAGACCTTCAGTCTGGCTGAACCACTAAGACAGCCTGCTCAGTAAGTGCTAACTTTTCTGAGGCAAAGCAAATCAGAACAGGGCGAGATGATGCTGGTTTGTCTGTCTACCACTAGATGGCAATGGCACAGATGCATATTACAAAAAGACTTACAGTAATACTGTAATTCTACAGTACTACCGTACTGTAGATAACAACTGAATGCAAAGTTTCAAGCAACATGGACAGTTATATGATGCCAGTTCTCTAATTTACATTGGGATTTCCTTTCAAGCCAGAGGAGAAGAAATTAAAAAATGCACATATTTTTTCCAAGATTTGGTGACTGGGAAGGCCACATAGCAGAAAGTCAATTCTCATTAAAGGTGTTTCTACATATGGAGGTTCTACCTATCTTGTCACCTAATTTGCTCAAATCCTTATAGTATGGGAATTGCTAGACCAAAGTTATATTAATGTCGTAAAAACATCCTTCTGAAAAAGGAGAAGATACTGAACTAGATAGGTCCATGTGTAGAACAGAGGGAGGCAGAAACAACTAAATGTTCTTTTTTGTTTTATTTTTGTAAGCTGGATACACATCTCTTATTTACCAAGGAAGGTCTCTATTTTCTGATGTTTCTCCCTGATTAAACATAACCCTGCTTGCAAAGGTCTCTTGATACTGAGACTCCATCATTGCAGGCTACTGGCAAAGCTGGCTAGAAATGATGAAAGTCAGAGTCCAAGAACATCTGGAAGTGATTATCTCAGCTTCTCTTGCCAGAAGTTAATTTTCTCTGGGAAGAAAGAGTGGGATGGAACCACCTAGATTTTTTTCCTCCAAGGCAGCAGTTCTAAATAGATTTACTTTTAAACAAACATGCTTTAAACTAGGCTGCAATACAATAATCTCTTAAGTCATTTTTTAAAATATGCTCCTTATCTGTCAGATTCATAGGAAAACTCCTCACATACTTGCCATTGTTGAATATCCATGTTTGCTAATAGTTTGTTATAAAGCATACATTCAGCATGCTTTGGATTTTATTTTAAATCTATTTATTGAGATGCTCTGCTTCCAAAGCCAATATAAACCTGACTCTTGCAGAGACAATAAATGAAGCATTATTGCATCCTTCCCCAGCTTGGTCTCTTTCAAATGCTTTGAATGACACTTCCAACATCAGATCCAAGTTTACAGAAAATGGTAATCCATGTCTACACAAGATATACATATAGATTGTCTTATAGGAGGCAAGACTTCATCACTATAAATGATGAATTTCAGAGTTAATGTGAGGCTAGAAGCATTCTGAGCAGTGGTCTGTTTTTCATCACTTAACAAAGAAGGAAGGCCGCAAGTTCAACCCCTTCAAGTATTCACTGAAGTATTTATTTATTGCTGTTTCAATCATGTCTGGCTCTGAGTGGCTTACAGACCTCCAAAGACAAATAAAATTAAAAATAATATATAACAAACACCCCTTCCTCCCTCCCTCCCTCCCTCCCTCCAAAGAACTAAAACATGTACAAACCATTTCTAATTAATGGCAAGCCTAAAGAATTTACAAGTGTGTGCATGTTTGTGTGTGTGTGTGCGCATGTGCGTGTGTAATATTTTATATTTTTATATTTATAGGAGTTAGTGGGTAGGGAAAGCCAGCATTTAAATAAATGCATGTTTAATTATATCCTGTAAAAACTTCTAGAAGATGGTAGGAAAGGATGGTCATAAATAAATAATTCCTCAAAGTAATCTAGTCCTGAGTTATT